TGGAGAGCCTGGTGCTACCGGATCTCCAGGCAGACAGGGTTATCAGGGTCCTGCGGGTGAAAAGGGTGACTCTGGTTTCGACGGTATGGTTGTAAGTTTCGCCCTTTCATGCACTTGCACCCAGAAAACCAAACGATATTTTAAAGAATATGGTGTTTTCTTTTAAATATAGGGGGTCTCCTGGTCCAATGGGTCCCCCTGGCCCACCAGGTCCCATGGGTCCTGTTGGTCAGATCGGCCCAACTGGTTATCAAGGTTCTATCGGTCCCCGTGGTGAGTCTGGGACAGACGGGCGCCCCGGACTTCCAGGACCTCAAGGTCCTGTGGGTCCCCCGGGTCCTCCTGGTCTCTCTGGTCTGATCGGTCAAAAAGGTCAACGCGGTGAACCTGGTCCTCGTGGTGTCCGCGGAAATCGTGGACCCACTGGTCCTCCGGGAAGCGATGGACCTGCTGGTGAACCTGGATCTGTGGTACGTCAGCCTTTCACCTTACAAAAAGATCTCTTTTTTGTTCAATTGAATGTTGGAGCCATGTCATCGCATCCATTTACAGTATGAAGAATATCCTGATTTGTAATCTTTTGGTGTCAGGAAACGTGGCTTTAAATCACAAATAATCAGTTTAGAACTTATGCCATAAAGCATATGGGTTTGAGATTATCTCTGTTGAAGGCATTCTAAGGAGAGGAAAAGTTGGTGGCATAGGCGGTAGGACTGGACACTGTAAAAGTCCGTACAGTACCGTGCGTAATTGAAAGGGATATCATACTGCTCCAGTATGACAGCTTGTTTAAATGACATTGATATAGGGTGAGCCTGGAATTGATGGTCGACCAGGACCGCGCGGAGAGCCAGGCGTAGCAGGTCCGCAGGGTCCGATGGGTCCCGCTGGTCCCAGGGGTGAACGTGGTGTCGCGGGCAGACCTGGTGCACAAGGTCGCAAGGGACCCATGGGTGACCGTGGCCCCGCAGGACTCGTTGGTCCTACTGGGGCTCCCGGACAGAAGGGCGACCGCGGGCAAACTGGTCGTGATGGTGACCAGGGTGAACCTGGGCCTCGTGGTGACCAAGGGCCCATGGGTGCTACTGGACCCAAGGTAAAACATTCTGATGCCATATCGTCAATACTTGGACCTTATGCTCTGAAGCTATGACTTAATTTGTTTGGAATCGTCCTAGGGCTCTCGTGGTGAGTCCGGTCCCCCCGGACTTCCTGGTGCCCCCGGATTAGATGGACGTCCAGGTCTGGATGGAGCACCAGGTGAGAACGGTCCTCAGGGAGAGCCAGGTCTACCTGGTCCTCCGGGTCCCATGGGTCGTCCTGGTATGGACGGTCTACCCGGTCCCCGAGGTGACATGGGCCCCAACGGACTTGATGGCGCATTGGGTGTCAAAGGCGCTAGGGGCCCACCGGGTCCTCCAGGTCGGCCTGGTAATCTCGGGAAACCTGGTTTACCTGGCACTCCAGGTGCTCTCGGCCCACCTGGTCCTCCTGGACCCACCGTACGTGCATTTCAGCTCATCTTCTCCACTGCTTGGAGTCTGAGGTGAAAATGCGCGAATTTCTCCTGCAACATTTTCAGGGTATTCCAGGATCCATGGGCGAACCAGGTCCAAAAGGCGCTCGGGGCTTCCAAGGTCTAACTGGTGACGTCGGAGAATCTGGTGACGCCGGTCCTAATGGTTTGGATGGCCCAGCTGGTCCTGCGGGAAGCATTGGCCCTCCCGGATTCTCCGGTCCTTCTGGAGATCAGGGTCCTGCGGGTGCTCCAGGTCCTGAGGGCGACCCCGGTCCGCCTGGATTCGATGGTCCTCCCGGCAAGGACGGAAAACCCGGACCCCGTGGGAAGGATGGAAAAATGGGTCCACCCGGTGAACAGGGTGAACAAGGGCCTGTTGGACCTCGCGGCATTCGTGGTGAACGTGGTCCTCCCGGTGACAAGGGGATCGATGGTGAACCTGGTGATGACGGCGCTGCTGGTCTGCCCGGTCCTCATGTACGTGTATTAAGGCACATTCAATATTTCCAATAATCCACAACTCTAATCATCTTTTTGGAGACTTTTTATGGAGGTGGTTTGGCTGAAAAACTGGGATTTCCTGGGATTGACTAACTTTATGGTACCGTTTTCTATGTCCGAGACAATAAGTTTTCACGCTCAAGAATAGCTCCTCGTGGATCTCCTTTCTGATGATTGCTGAAAGCCTTCAACCAGTAAATCAGCACCGACGTCCACCATTCTGGAATGTCAAATCCAGATCACCACATTATGGTATTTGATTTTACTTCAAACCAGAAGGTTAATCAACTTACCAACTGGAATTTTTCGCTTCACTTTACATCAACCGCTTAAGTTAAATGAGTGCTTTGTCAAATCTTGCCAACAATGCATCTTTAGCTCTATGTGTGAGGTTATGGAAGGCTTTGTTTTGTCCAGGGTCCAGCTGGACCACCTGGCCCGACCGGCAAAACTGGAGCCCCTGGTGAAGCTGGTGAGGAAGGTGATGAAGGTCCTCAAGGTCCACCTGGCGTTCCTGGAATGGACGTACGTTATCGTTCACTTTATCTTTGGTAAAAAATCTCTCTACTGCCTTACTGATATGCACTCTTCTCGTGTTAAGGGTGTTCGAGGTCCCCAAGGTTTGCGCGGCCCAGCTGGAAAGGAAGGAATAGCTCGTGAATTGACTGCAGTGCCCGGAGGCCTGGGTCCCAAAGGCCCACGTGGCCCCACTGGTCCTACAGGTCCTCCTGGTGACCAAGGTCCCAAGGGAGAGCCTGGTGAAACTGGTCCTCCAGGAACGCCCGGTGAGCCTGGGGAACAAGGTCCTTCTGGGCCCCCAGGTGATCCAGGTCCTGATGGCAAACCAGGTGCTAATGGTGAGGACGGTCCTGAAGGACCTCCTGGTGAACAAGGCCCAATGGGTCCACGTGGTCCCAATGGAGAGCCAGGTCCCATGGGTCCTCCTGGTCAACCCGGTAAACCCGGTCCCATCGGTCCCGTTGGAGCTCCCGGTATGGCTGGCGAACCCGGCAAACGCGGTCCCACTGGCCCTCCAGGTCCAATAGGCGAGCGTGGTCCAACCGGACCTACCGGTATTAATGGAACTGATGGACGTGAAGGAAGAAAAGGACCTCAGGGACGACGAGGACCTCCTGGACCCCCTGGTCCTCATGGTGATGCTGGAGCTCCAGGTAAGGAGGGACCTGAAGGACCTCCCGGTCATCCTGGTTTTGTTGGTCCACCTGGTGAACCTGGCGCTGAAGGTCCAGAGGGAAAAGAAGGTATTGAAGGTGCCCAAGGTGAACAGGGTCCGCCTGGTCCCTATGGCATCATGGGTCCTGCTGGTGAACCTGGTGATCCTGGTCCAAAAGGTCGCCCTGGTCCTGCTGGACGACGTGGAAGCCAGGGAGCGGCAGGGGCTCGTGGCCCTCAGGGTCCCCCTGGCCCCCAGGGTCTCACTGGTCTTGAAGGTCCTCCTGGACCTGCTGGTCCCCGTGGACCACGTGGATCACCCGGTCCCAAGGGTGAACCAGGTCCTCAAGGTGAAGATGGTCCTCCGGGTCCTGATGGTCCGAATGGTGAGACTGGTCTTCGCGGTCCTCAAGGATCTGCTGGAAGTCGCGGAAAGGATGGTCCACCAGGAAGACGTGGTCCTGCCGGTCCCAAAGGAACTCCTGGTGCAAAAGGTCCAACAGGTCTTCAGGGACCTCCTGGTCACGATGGTCCTACTGGCTATCCAGGTCCCACTGGCAAACGTGGTCCAAATGGACCCACTGGAGAGCGTGGTCCACAAGGACTTCAGGGTCTGCGTGGTGAAACTGGTGAGGTGGGCGAAGCAGGTCCGATGGGTCTACCTGGTAATGATGGAGACCCAGGTCCACCTGGTGTTCAGGGTCCCCCTGGTCCGCCTGGACCACCTGGACCTCCAGGTTCCATTATGAGCATTCAGGCTCGTCGAGCACCAACCAAGGGTCTTCTTTACGGCGATGATCCTAGGGCTGCTCATCACTTCGGAATGAACTCCATCAAATTTCCGCGTGGAACTCAAGAGGTTCCTGCCAGAACATGCGCCCAATTGGCCGCTCATTTCCCCAATTATCCTGACGGTAGGTTGCTCATTTCTTCAACCAACTTTTGCCTTCTTCTTCAACTTCATTTAAATCGAGTTTTTCTTTTCACATTAGGCTCTTACTGGCTCGATCCAAACGGTGGGCGCACAAATGATGCAGTTGAGGTTTTCTGCAAAATTAAGACGGGTGAGTCTTGCGTCCAAGCCAAGCAATCCTTCCCTGTTACAAAGTGGAATTTGCCCTCTACAAATAGCTCAGTATGGTTCCAAACTTACAATCAATTTGGAGAGGTGAGAAAGGACGTCCATTTCTAGCATAGTCCATATAAACATTTGGAGATAGCATTATATTTTCCCCTTCCAGTTCGACTACGCCATTGATGCAGATCAGCTGGCCTTCTTGAAGGTGTTCAGTTCTCGTGCATCTCAGAAACTTCGACTTTCTTGCCAGGGTCTCTCTGAGAGCATAATTATGCCTGAACTCCTGGCTGATGATGATACGATTTTGACAATGGCGCATCCTAAGCGACGATTTGAGTTGAAAGAGAACCTATGTGGACAGGTCAGTTCTGAGTGATACAGGCTGCCTTGCTGAAGGACTTAAAACGCTTTCCATCCATCTAGAGCTTGATAGATGTCTCCGAGAGATCGACCACTTTGATTGATAATTTCAGATCTTCGAAGGATCAACTGTGGTTCAGATCCAAAGCAAACCATCCCGATTGCCGCTTCGTGATATTAAATTCACTCCCAGCATCTCAGCTTTTGGTGTTCACGTTGGAGAGGTCTGTTTCTCCTAGGTGCTTGACGAAGACAATCACACCTACTTTACAAAGCTGCTGCAACAGCTGAGCCCATTACACCCTCTCGCCGCCGTCTCACTCTTGCCCCCTCCCCCTCACCTACTTACCATTCTCTTTCAATTCCATCCCTCCTTCTCCTCCAGTCGTTTAAACTTTAGTTTTTTTGATGTTGTTGTTGTTGTTGGGGTTTTGTACAGCTATGCAACACGCAGATCACCAGCTACTCCTCTCAGGTTTCACAGCCTCGTAGAGGAATAGCCAGGCACCGATGTTTGCAGTAATAAACTTTGCTGATCACTAAATGCACCAGACTCGGAAAAGGGTAATCACAGTCCACCTTAATGGTGTCTTTGACTATGCAAGGTGAGTAGGTATTAAAGAATCTCTTAGCAAGGTGTGAGGCTCTTTATCAAGAAGCAAATGGGTGGAATCGTCACTACACTATAAAAGGCCCACCCTACTGTCAGACCTGTCAGTGAGTTGAGCCCCCTCCACTGCTCGCATACGTGGCTTTGTTGGCAAGATGTGGGTGACTAAACAAGCGATATCAAGCACAATCGCGATAGGGCATGCCAAAAGGGGTCTGTCATCAACCTACCTGCCCTAGCACATGATTTATTGAATCACATGTCAAGGCACGGGAATTAATCCATACGGTGTGTTTTGATTGGTTGGAATGCTTTTGGAGGGTGGTGAAAGGTCTCTCAGAGTGATCGGAAATGGATTTCGATCATGCCTATAGGAGGTACAAAATCTATGCCCTTAGAAATCAACAACGCAAAGAAAATGAACAAGAAGTGACTCGTGTTGATAGTGCCATTACAGCACCCTACAATTCGTTTACTGGGGTCACTTTACAAAAGGGTGCCGCACTTTCGACTGAAATGGAAAACTATAGGAGACGAGTGATCGCCCTACTGAACTTCTTTGACTCAATAGCTCCACGTTGGTGGGATCAATTGCATCGATTCAATGGAAGGTTAGTGAAACGTCCAAGCCGGAGTGCGGAGTTGATAGTCAAGCTGCAGGCAAGACTGAAGGCACGCCTCACACGTCTCACACCTCGCATGGTGATACCAGCTGCTGCAGCTGTGGTCACCATAGAGGAAAGTGATATTGTCTCAGTTCTGCCACAGAACCTACTACACTTAAGAGGTCAACCCGCAAATCGACGATCTAAACTGGGGAAATTTGAAAATGTCCAAGAAACGCTGCGACTGGCTTATTCCATAGCTCGACGTTTGGGAGAAGTTGAGAGATTGAAACAGCAGCTGATTTTATATGCAGTTGAGTGGATAAATGCTGACGGTAGAGACTTCTCTCTTCGAGCACAAAGACTCGCTCTACTCACTAAAAATATTAAGTACTGCCTCATTGAACGATTTAAAGGGGTACAAGCCCTCATTACTCATTATTATCGGCGGAGATCTTCCAACAATTTAGATGATGGTGGAAGTGCACCCCCCATGGGGGTTGAAGTTGACTCCAAATCTCGTCTGATGCATGCCTTTTGTGAAGTTACCGCAGCATGTATAAGCACCACAAGCATGGAGATTCTTCGAGTCATGGCGAATGCCGATCTGACACTTGCCACTGATCCAGCATTTACCACCGATTTTATCGACTACTATTCGCCTAATATCCTTCCAATGTCAACGTATACATTAGCCTCTGTCACTACTGATGTTAACAAGCAGGAAGGAATTGTGCCATTGGAGAGGGCTAAGAGAAGCATGACTGAAAATTCGACTGACGATATCAGGCACGAAGAATCCGTACTGTCACGTGAGCAAATTAATCCTACCACTTTAACGGATCAGCATATTAATTCAAAACAGTCTTCCATGCTAAGCAGGACACCCGGAGTTCAGCCTCACAATAGGCTTAAGAAGTCAGGAACTCCAAATAGCTTTAATCCAAGCATTAGCTTTGGTGAAGCAGAAGAGGAAGACGAGGAATTGATTACCTTACCAGACATCAACAGCTATAAGCTGCGCCGTTCAGATTCTGAGTCAAGACGAAAAAGAGAAACTGCTCAATTTATCACAAAATTGCTTGCACTACAAGGATCCAAATCCTCGGTGGAAAATGATGTCAAGTCATTGGGAAGTCAAAACCCTCTACCATCACTTAAGCATACCAGTAGCAGCACCGCTTTACCATCCACTTTGCTTTTCCGACCCTCTAGTCTTGAAGATAACCAAGGAAATTTTGTTACACGGGCAAATTCCACTTTATCCGATGAAAATACTTAAACAATAGAAACTGGATAAGGTGAAGGCATATCCCGACGCAAACCGATTCAGCTATCAGCATGGCAGCTAGATTAATTTAGAAAAATGACATACATTGCGGCCTCTAGTGTTTTTTGTCTGGCAAAGCATCGAGCACAGATACTAATGATCTGTTAGATTAAAATTCTTTCATAGAGGACCATAATTTCGCACACTCCTCTTGCATCAGTAATTCCTTTTCTTTTCTACTCATGTCAATCAATCTTCATTTATCTGACGTGCTGTACTTCTGTGGAGTTTTTTTAATCGCTCAAATCCAGTTCGAAATAAACATTATAGTATCAACTAGATATTTCTGAACACGCCTAGTTATGCTTCGGTTCTTGATTTTTCTTTAAACACTATGAGATGTGTCCTTGAATTTGTTTGCTAGGGCAATTTTATGATTGTCACCACTTAAAACGTAAATTTAAAGAAGTGATAAAGTAAATCTTTATTCCAGCTAATGACTAAACTGGTAAAGTGTGAAATAATTACTAAATTGGTAAAAATTCAACTACGGGCTTATAAACCCCCAGTCATAAAGCGCACTTGATTACCACTGTTCGTCTTTGGGGTGACTTGTGCTCTCAATGATTACTGTAGAAATGGTTACCTCACAAGATATGGTACTTTAAGCCAATTAATAGTGAAGCCTCAGGTAAGTATGGTCCTAGTTAATTCGGAATATGAGATAGCCCAGTGTTTCGGAATTCCGTACATGCATTAATCCTGTGGTTAACTCATCCTCTGTTGAAGAACACACCTATTTGCGCCTTTAGATATTGCTTAATATGACAAAGTTCTTGTGCTTGATTAAAAAGATTACACTCCATTGTTGCTTTTTACACTGTGTAGCGATTGTGCGCCCATTTGTCATGCACAAAGTGGCCCCACACTCTAGGTGACATGGTAGAACACCGTAAAAATTTGGCCCCGCTAATCAAAACCATCACCATTCTTTAAAACTGATTTCCTGTATTCCGTCACAAAGAAAACGAGTCCAGCATAATGCCTGTTCTCTTAAAAGCGTTTGGCATATGACCCTGAGCTCTTTCAAGCATCCCACCCCCTGATGGGTGCGTTCATAGGCACACCCATCCAACTCTTTCTATAAAAGCTCTATACAGTAAAACTGATTTTCATATTCATACCTGCGTGTAGAAGATTAATCAAGGATGTCAGTGAGCCAAAATAATAACCGCATTTACAGGCCCGGTCCATCCTGGTATGACTCCTACCGCCGCTTTATCCATCGCTGTGCGGATCGTATCCGATTGACAGACTATCCGGTGGTGACTCAACTCATGGCAGAGACTCTTGCCACCATAGCCCTTATTTTCTACGGCGATGGATCAGTAGCTCAAAAGTTCTTCTTTTCCTCAAGCTTCCTTGAAATCAGCCTCGGTTGGGGTGCTGCGGTTGCGATAGGAATCGTTGTTGCCGGTGGCAAAGCTTCTCCAGCCTTCATGAATCCAGCAGTAGCAGTGGCTAACGCGGTCACAGCCCATCTACGCTGGTCCCTTCTGCCACTCTACATTGTGCTCGAAGTTGTGGGCGCTTTCCTTGGAGCTGCGTTGCTACTAGCAGTGTACAATGAAAACTTGCTTCGATACGTTACAGAGAATGACGGCGGGAATTTCTATGTCAACTCAACCGGCGGCATCTTTGTGGCCGGAAAAGGCTCCTCTGTCAAAACTGCAGTAGTTGATCAGATACTTACCACCGCTTTACTGATGTTTGGCTTACTGGCGGTGGGTGACAATCGTCTCGTCAAGAAGTCAGACAAATTCGCACCAATGCTGGCGGGAATGGTCGTTTACATGGCTGTTGGCACCTACACGGCTAATGCAAGCTCTGCGTTGAATCCGGCCCGTGATTTGGGTCCTCGTATTCTTCTGCTTGTGTCCTGTAAGTACTACTTTGTAGGTATTGTATACACAGCGCTATATTTTGGCCTGTCAATAGAGGGTCTACTTCGTTCTACTTGACCTCAATAATTAAACGTCTCTTATCATTCCGACATTGTAGACTGGGGCATGAGTGCATTCACGATCGACAACTACTACTTCTGGGTGCCAGCTCTGATGCCGATTGTTGGAGCCGTTCTTGGCGTCATCGTCTACCAGCTATTAATCGGGCTCCACGCATCCGCCAGTGAGGAACACTCCACGGACGAGGATGAAGATACCGAGGCGGACAAGTTTGAATTAAGCAGTGAGAACCTGAAAGGAGATTTGACCGTCTACCTAACCGATTTAAGCGAGGCAAAGTGACTCGACTATTTTTTTGCTCTAAGACTATACTGCAACAGACTACTTAAAATATATTAGTAAAAACCCACTCGTCCTTTTGGCGCACCCACCCCCCGTGAACACCACCACGTCCCAGCCGCTCACCGCCCGATGATGTTGCGGCACGACTAAAAAATGGTAGCACAAGCTCCCAAAACCTAGACACCAGTCCAGTGCTGACTCACCTATAAAGGAATCTGGCCGTTCAGTAGCGAAATAAGTCTGACCAGAACATAACCGAGATCACACTACCAGGTAAAGGCAAAGACCGATGAAGATCCCAAATGCCTTTATTAGAGTATAAAACTATGTATACAGCTTTAAGCGGCTTCAATTTACACCAAGGTGTGAGAATGATTTGTCAGACCTACATCATACCGCCCATGCCTCCCATGCCACCCATACCTCCCATCCCTGCTGCTGGATTGTCTTCTTTGGGAATATCACATACAACAGTCTCCGCTGTAGTCAAGAGAGAAGCAACGCCCGCAGCATCCACCAAGGCTATGCGGACGACCTTCGTGGGATCAATAATGCCAGAGGCAATCATGTCAACATATCTATCGTTCATAGCATCGTACCCACCGTTGGGTTCCATAGCCAACACTTTCTGGACAACAACAGACGCGTTGACACCAGCGTTATGAGCGATAGTGTAAGCGGGAGTTTCGAGGGCTTTCTTCACAATGTCGATGCCTACAACAGTAAACCAGGTGCCAAAGGCAAAGTGAACACATAACCAAAAGAAAAGTCACTAAACTAACCAATTTGTTGATCATTGTTCTTGCCTTCAATCCTGTCAAGAACCTCAATACACCGCAACAAAGCAGCGCCACCTCCAGGAACAATGCCCTCTTCAACAGCAGCACGGGTCGAGTTCAAGGCATCCGTGTAGCGATCCTTTTTCTCCGAAACCTCTACCTCGCTACTTCCACCAACTTTAATGACGGCAACACCGTTGGAGAGTTTTGCAAGACGTTCTTGCATTTTTTCCTTTTCATAATCGCTACTGCTAGCGCTAATCTCATCACGAAGTTGAGAAATGCGCTTGTCAACATCGGCTTTATTACCGTGGCCGCGCATAAAGAGTGTGTCGTCCTTGGTGATAACAACCTCACCAACTCTACCCAGATCTTGGAGCTGGGCATCCTCAAGTTTGTACATATCCGCCTCATCACCAAACACCTAAGACGCAGGGTAAACAGGGACAAGTAACCTACGACACCACCGGTTGCAATAGCCATATCACGTAGCGTATTCTTGCGATTGTCCCCAAACCCAGGTGATTTGACGGCGCAAACTTGGAGACCAAGCTTCAAACGGTTGAGAACGAGGGCAGTAAGCGCTTCTCCCTCAACATCCTCAGCAACAATGACGAGAGGCTTTTTGTGCTGATGCACAGCCTCCAAAATAGGAATAATAACCTGTATATTATTTATTTTCTTTTCACAGAAAAGAACACAGGCATCCTGGAACTCGCAACGAGCACCCTTCTCGGTGTTAATAAAATACGGGGAGATGTAACCGCGATCGAACTTCATTCCTTCGATGTACTCGATCTCATCAAACAAAGTTTTACCGTCCTAGGGATGTCGGTAAGCGCAGAAAAAATACCTTAACAGTGATTGTACCATCGTTCCCCACTCGCTTCATCGCATCCGATATAAGATCGCCAATAGAAGTGTCACCATTTGCAGAGATAGTGGCGACCTGCGCGACCTCCTCAGGAGTAGTAACGGGTCTTGACATTTCTTTCAAGTGTTTCACGGCTGCATCGACCGCCATCATGACACCTCGCCGAAATTCAATAGGGTTTGCACCCTTGCTTATCTTTTCAAAGCCCTCCCTTGCAATCGCGCGAGCCAGCACTGTGGCCGTGGTCGTACCATCACCAGCCTCCTCGTTGGCGTTGTTGGCAACATCCTGCACCAGCTTAGCACCAATATTTTGAAACTTGTCCTTGAGCTCAATGCCTTTGGCAACCGTAACACCGTCCTTAGTAATTTTCGGTGACCGCCACTGACTCTCAAGAATCACATTGCGACCCTTTGGACCCATTGTAACGGCAACGGCATCAGCAAGTACATCAACACCAACGAGCATCGCAGCTCGAGCATCGGCACCAAACTTAACATCTTTAGCGGCGCCTCGAGCAACGAGCCTACATACAAAACCGGCAAAACGAGAAGAACATGCAGCACGCAACATGACACGCCTTACGCGATTCTGGAAGGAGTTTACCCATTCAAACAACTATCATGAGAAAACCATAGGATTCAAAATCAACTCAAAAGAGTATATGTTAGGGCGAAGATATGATTACTAAACATAATTTGTTAAGCATAATCAAAAAAAGGTTCCAATGAGAAGCATATGAGGATACACCTTTGC